GCTCGTTTGTGTAAAGGTGTGTGAAAAGAGGCGCGCGTTGAAGTCGCAATGCGTAAACGCTCGCATGTGTACCATGCAGCTATGGTCCCACAGCTGCACGCACTGTGTCAGGATTACAGGCCTGCGCGCGTTGCGTCGAAGCCGCAGTGACCAACCCCCTTATAAGGATAGTGCTGGAGGGGCGCGGCCGGTACTGCCAGGGATGGACGTCGCGCTATGGTGGGTGTGTTCCACGATGCGGAAGGACTTCGCCACGCTAGGGTATAAGGCTGAGTCGAATGGTGTTCCGCGACGCGAGGGGTTTCTCCACAGGGCTTTGCAGAAAGGCTGCGTTGCATCGATGCTCGTTGGTGTCGAGCAATATGGTCTGTGAACGCAGTACGCAATGGGGTGTTAGACATTGATCTACCAATCTTTAATCCCGAGCAAACTCTCAAGCCAGTCCCTTTGCTTCGCAAAGCAAACTCAAGGTAGTCCTTACCAAGCTACCTTTCGTGATATTGATCTCCAAACCTTGCTGGCATCGTCGTGATAGTGCGCACCGTAACCGAAACGGCTGCAATGCCAAAGAAAGATAAGTAGAGATTGATAAGAAAAGAGGACGGAAAGATATTGGACGATCAAAGTGAATGAGATGAGTGGTGTGTGATGAGGGTGTGAGATGAGTGGTGGTGATGAGTGGTGTGTGATGAGTGGTGTGTGATGAGTGGTGTAAGATGAGTAGTGTGTGATGAGTGGTGTGTATTGAATGGTGTAAGACGAATGGTGCGTTCCTTTCGGTTTCGTTGTTCAGCGGCGACCATACGTCCGCCCCGTCCTCCTGTAGGCTCTGTGAATTGCACTTGCCACGAAATCTCCATTCTAGGTTCATCATGTGTTGTGTATGCTACGAAATCTATACGATAGGTAGCCGCGGGCTAGCGGCGACCACGCGTCCACCGAATCCTCCTGCAGCGCGCTAGATGCACCAAGTGCTGTGCCCACCACGAAATCTAGACGACAGGCAGCGGCGACCACGCGTCCACCTAGTCGTCCTGCAGGCTCTGTGTATTGCGCTCACTAAGTGTTGCGCCGGTGTAAAATGAATGGTGTAAGGTGAGTGGTGTAAGATGCGTGGTGGGAGATAGGTGGTATGAGATGAGTGGTGTGTAAAATAAATAGTGTGAGATGAATGGTGAAGGATAAATGGTGTAAATTGTAAGATGGCTAGTGTTAGATGGATAGTAAAAAATGAATGGTATCAAATGAATAATATAAATTAAATGGGGCAAGATAGGCAATATGAGATGAATGGGGTAAAATAAATGGAGCGGAATTAGCAATTGAAATCTACATAAATTAAAATTGCTCTATGTTTTCACCACAATGTTTAAATGGGATTTTATTATTTCATTCTGTATCCGTCGTTCCACGCCCGCATCCATTATTGCATTGCCGCCTATTTACACCACTCATTTTATATAATTCATCTTACACCATTCATCTAATATTATTTCACACCACCGACAAAAACGCGTGCACGGAAATACATAATCGGAATCATTTTAATGTAAATATAGAAATCAAATCAATTAATAGATATATATTTTAAATATATATTTATTAATAATAAAATCGAATATTAACACATATATTCGTATCCCTTTAAAAAAATATTCGTATCCATTAAAACAACAATAAATCATATTATTTATAGTATATATATATATAATTTCGAAATATAAAAAATATAATATTTATTGTTCCTCAATCTATAATATTAATTTCATATAAATAGAAAATAATATATGTATATATTTCTTTTTTATAAATTAATATAATTAATAATATATATTGTTATAATTTTTTAATATTTATATATATTTATTTTATATATATATATTTATATCAATAAAATATAATCTCAAGAAATCAATATAATATAAAATAAAACCTTTATATAATAGTTATTTCTTAATATACATTTACAAATTTAAACCATTCCCAATCATTATTTCATATAAATTCAAGAAATTACAAGAAATATCATAATCATATAAAAATAAAACATATAAAATCATAATCATAATAGAAATGAAATATCATAATCATATCCGCCGATCCCGGTTGAAGCAAGGGGGAGCGCGTAAGGGAATACGGAGTTGCCGGGGGGGTCCTACCCTCCGGCTGTGCCATGGACAACTTTCCAGGGATACAGAATTAGATGGAGAAAAGCTGTGGCGGGGTCAGGTGTTCGGAGCCAGGATGGGCGCAAGAAAGGAAAGAAAAGTGTTTTTTTAATAGGGATTCAGAGGGGGCGTTTGGTCTCGAAAGCGCGAACAGGGGAGGCTCGCTGTGGACGAGAAGTAGATGGGGAAAAGCTGTGGCGGGGTCAGGTGTTCGGAGGCACCAGAAAAGAAAGAAAAGTGTTTTTTTAATAGGGATTCAGAGGGGGCATTTGGCAGCGAAAGTGCGATCAGGGGAGGCTCGTTTTGGACCAGAATTAGATGGGGAAAAGCTGTGGCGGGGTCAGGTGTTCGGAAGGACGCCAGAAAGGAAAGAAAAGTGTTTTTTTAATAGGGATTCAGAGGGGGCGTTTGGGAGCGAAAGTGCGATCAGGGGAGGCTCGTTTTGGACTAGAATTAGATGGGGAAAAGCTGTGGCGGAGTCAGGTGTTCGGAGGCACCAGAAAGGAAAGAAAAGTGTTTTTTTAATAGGGATTCAGAGGGGGCGTTTGGCAACCAGAATTAGATGGAGAAAAGCTGTGGCGGGGTCAGGTGTTCGGAAGGGCGCAAGAAAGGAAAGAAAAGAATTTTTTAAATAGGAATTCAGAGGGGGCGTTTGGTCTCGAAAGCGCGAACAGGGGAGGCTCGTTTTGGACCAGAATTAGATGGGGAAAAGCTGTGGCGGGGTCAGGTGTTCGGAGCCAGGATGGGCGCAAGAAAGGAAAGAAAAGTGTTTTTTTAATAGGTATTCAGAGGGGGCGTTTGGCAGCGACAGTGCGTGCAGGGAAGGCTCGTTTTGGACTAGAATTAGCTGGGGAAAAGCTGTGGCGGGGTCAGGTGTTCGGAAGGACGCCAAAAAGGAAAGAAAAGTGTTTTTTAATAGGGATTCAGAGGGGGCGTTTGGTAGCGAAAGTGCGATCAGGGGAGGCTCGTTTTGGATCAGAATTAGATGGGGGAAAGTTGTGGCGGGATCAGGTGTGCGGAGCCAGGATGGGCGCAAGAAAGAAAAGAAAAGTGTTTTTTTAATAGGGATTCAGAGGGGGCGTTTGGGAGCGAAAGTGCGATCAGGGGAGGCTCGTTTTGGACTAGAATTAGATGGGGAAAAGCTATGGCGGGGTCAGGTGTTCGGAGGCACCAGAAAAGAAAGAAAAATGTTTTTTTAATAGGGATTCAGAGGGGGCGTTTGGCAGCGACAGTGCGTGCAAGGAAGGCTCGTTTTGGACTAAAATTAGCTGAGGAAAAGCTGTGGCGAAATCAGGTGTTCGGAGGCAAGCAAAGCGCCAGAAAGAAAAGAGAAGTGTTTTTTTAATAGGGATTCAGAGGGGGCGTTTAGGAACGACAGTACGATCAGAATCCGGATGCGGAGTTAAGGTTAGGTAAGAAAAGTCTTTTTTTTAGAGGGATTCAGAGGGGCGTTTGGTATCGAAAGTACGAACAAAGGAGGTTCGTTTTAGACGAGAATTAGATGGGGAAAAGTTGTGGCGGGATCAAGTGTTCGGAGCCAGGATGGGCGCAAGAAAGAAAAGTGTTTTTTTAATAGGGATTCAGAGGGGGCGTTTGGGAGCGAAAGTGCGATCAAGGGAGGCTCGTTTTAGACGAATTAGATGGGGAAAAGCTATGGCGGGATCAAGTAATCGGAAGCACCAGAAAGCAAAGAAAAATATATTTTAAATAGGGATTCAAAAGGGGCATTTAGCAGCGACAATGCGAGCAGGGGAGGCTCGTTTTAGACTAGAATTAGCTAGGGAAAGGCTGTGGCGGGATCAGGTATTCGGAGGCAAGCAAGGTGCCAGAAAGAAAAGAAAAATTTTGTTTTATAAGGATTCAGAGGGGGCGTTTGGGAGCGACAGTGCGATCAAAACCCGGATGCGGAGTTAAAGCTAGGTAAGAAAAGTTTGTTTTTAGAAAGATTCAAAGGGGGCGTTTGGTATCGAAAGTGCGAATAAGGGAAGTTCGTTTTAGACGAAAATTAGATGGGAGAAAGCTATAGCGGAGTCAGGTGTTCGGAGCCAAGAAAAGCGCAAGAAAGGAAAGAAAAGTGTTTTTTTAATAAATATTCAAAGGAGGCGTTTGGGAACGAAAGTACAATCAAAAGAAGCTCGTTTTAGATTAAAATTAGCTGGAGAAAAATTGTAAGAAGTATTTCCGAATCGGCGGCAAAAGCGGCAACACTTAAATAATATAATCTAAATAAATAATAAATACCATTAGAAATAATATATATATAAAATATAAATGAAATTTACAATTTTAAATTTATTAATATATAAATTTAAAAAAACGGTAATTTTAAATATATAGATCCAAAATATCTCCATTTATTAAAGGATCAAAATTGTAAATAAATTATATATTTGAACCTTATATATATTTATTAAGCCTATACATGTTCAAAAATTATAAATTACAATACCTTTTTGAGGGTCAAATAGATGCATAATAACATGGCTCGTAACCAATATGTCCAAATTGCAATGAAAAAAAATGACAGAGGCGGGGAGGGTGAAATTGTAACTTGCTCTGCGGGGTACCTATCCATTCATTCTTACAATTTTGAACCCCCCTGCTTTCAAAGTCTCAAGTAGTAGGCCAAGACCTCTTTGAGGAAGATCCTAATATAGGCTACCTCAACCTTAGATCTAATATTATCTACAGTAATAATTATCAACCCCCGCAATAGGGCTGTACAATGCTATCCTTGCAAAGTCTAAAATTGTAAGTTACAAATTTGACCCCCCAGCGGGGTCAGGCACCGCAAGGGGCTAGTGATATGATGATATTTTATAGATTATGTTTAAGAATCAATGGTATTCATTTGGAACGACTTCCGCACATCCCACATTTCTCTGGCCTGCACGCCCGCACAATCTACCACATCGCGACATTATTTTCCTGAGATGCTTTTACATCATTATTGAAGGAAATCCCGTTCGTGAAGTGATCACTCTCCTGTTGCCATCATGTACCCGTGTGACGCGCCATCCAGTTGCAATCAAGGCCTCCACAAGCACAACTGGACTTGGAAAAGCGTGAATGACTCTGCATTATGTATATTTTTTCTCTTTTTTTTCTCTCTCTCTAGCTTGGTTGCAATCAAATCTCAAAGAGAACATGGCTCATCACCAATAACACTGCAGTTGAGGCACCCTCTCGTCTGACAGCCACTGGACCTTCATGTCGCAAAGAGGGCAAGCCTGGCATAACACGTCATCACATCATAAGACTGGACGCTTTCCTCTGAGCTCCCCCACGGAACGGTCGCTCCACGCCACCTTTTCCTGGGCACAGGTGTTCCATTCTTCAACCACTGCCCATTTCTCAAAGTACTAGTAGCAAGAAGCTACTAGTAACAAGATGCCCCGGTCTGAGCTTATAGCCGCACACTTCCGACATACGAGGCACCTGATCCACTTTGGGCATGAAGAGGGAAAGCAAACCGGTGGCAACGTGAAGGGACCTGCAAGGGTGCAACCGATGGTCTGCCTTTGAAGTCTCTGCTTGGTCCTGCAGAAAAACAACATATATGTAATGCATCCAGCCAAAGTCCCTGCTGCACCGTCATTTGTGACATGTAAAACCTGCCTTTTGATGGAGAGCAGCACTCTTTTCCACTCTCCAGGTCAGACAAAGGGGCCACCTTAAAGCGTGCCCCTGTGGCCGCCATGGCCTTTTGTGTTGCAGCAAGCAGGCTGTTGAAGTGATCTGCTGTTGGCAGCTGGCCTGCGACGCAACAACTCTCAAAAACTTGTGTGGATCGCTGGAGCATTGGCACAGTGGCAAATTATAAATAGCAAGATTTCCCCTGACAGTGCATATCATCTGCGATCTGTGCCAAAGCCGAGTTATATATATATATATATGTTTTTTTCCCATGCCTACTCCCAGAAACAACCAACACTCCCCTTCATCAGGCCTTCCCCTCGAAGTGTGGATGGCACCCTCCTGGCAGTGGCAATTCGAAGTGCTCGCAGGGCAAGATGCACCACCTTCAGGTAGTTGGGGACGTGGCTCAATTAGTGACTGACAAACCAGTCTGCCAAGCCTGTTGGATTATGGTTGGGTATCTCCACTCCAGTAAGGCCCAAGGGCTGACAACGCTCACAATATGAACGGATGTATGGTGACATGGTGACTCAATTGATGCTTGCTTCAGTTGCAATGGCTACCTCGAACTCCCGAGCGCCCACGAGGCTTTGGAAAGCCTCCACCTAGAGTGGAAGCGCAAGAACACATGCAGTGAAACAGCTTGAAACGATGCGAAGCCAGCTGACATAAGAAGTGTGAACCATACGGTGCCCCAAACAAAGGCATCGTTGCAATCACTTCATCCGAGCGTCGTGGCAAGCGAGTGTTGCTGTCAAAGAAGGCTGGTGAATGTTTCTTTCCGTGGGGCCACGGCATAGATCATGCCACGCCATTAGCCCTGAAGACTTCATGCCTTGATGTTGTTAACTTAAGTGCAACGCCCAAGGCTTTCAAGTGACCCTTCCTTTGACAGTATGTCGTGGACTGTGTATTTATCAAAAACTATCCTCTATCCGAAACATCGACCATGGTCGCTTGGATGTCTGCTTTCTTTCTCTATGATCATGTGAGGGCAATGCAGCACAAAAAGGTCTTGAACACTTGCCGGCCAAGAAGGTTTAAAACACAAAACTGTGAGGTTTGCCTTCTCCGGCCAGCAGGTCTTGACTAGCAGCGCAAATCCTACTACATCCTACTACTAATCCAAGATTCTCAGGCAATGTAAAATTATGTCAAGCTACTCTGCAACACCTTGCAGATTCCCCGCCAGTGTTGCATGAGCTGGCAAGAGGTCGCCTCAGAAAATAATCAGCTGAAAACTGACTGGCATGGCACATTGCCATGCCAAACCTGAACAGAAAGAACAAGCATACATACAACGTCACAACCAATACTGTCAAAAAAAAGTGTAAGTCTAAGTATGTGATATGCGCGCATGAAATCCCAGGTGATGCAAAATTCTGCCAATCAACAGTCATACCAGGCTCATTCGTATCTGCTGCCCAAACTGGCAACTCCTTCCAGTGTGGTCTTGAAGAAGTTCCAGCAGTAAGAGTTGACTTTGGAAGCCCTTGAGCGTGACTTGTGTTATCCACGTTCTCCAGTTCGTCGAGTTTGTCCCTGAAGTTCACTTTTTCATCTTTCTTCACCTCCCTCATTTCTCTTACTTCACTCTCTTCCATCTCTTCTGCTTTGCGGTGGCCTTCCTCATCTCCCAGCTCTGGGCTGCAGCCTGATTTGCACTACAGGCACTGGAATTCTGTGAGAGCAAATTTGCATTTTCAGAAAAAAGGTGTGTCTGGCTGTGTCACAAGTGCATGACTGACCCATGGACCATGGAAGCAAGGCCGATGTTGAGCCGAGCAACTTTGAGCCTGAATGTACCGCACCTCTGCCACACTCAAATCAACATTCGGGACATCATTACTTCGAGTTGCTGCCCGCTTTTCTGGAGGAGGTGTGAAGTCAATATCATCTGCCATCTCCTTAACCTTTTCCTCTTCGTAGCCCTTCTCTCCATCGCTTGGGATGTCACCCGCCGACGGTCCCAAGAGGGACACTCCGGATCGATCACAGTGCAGTCGGGCTTCCACGTTGCGCAGGGTCTTGTAGCCAACGGATTCGAGGGCCAAAGCTGCAGAAGCTCGGAGAGCCAACGACTTCAATACAGGCAGAATTTCGCTGGAGCTGGTAGCACGCGCCAAGTTACTGGCACCTGAAGTCTCCCAGAGCTGCAGAATATAAAGCTGCTGAAGATTGTTGAGGGCATCACTGCACATTTCAAGCCGAGGGGCCGCTCCATTCAGCTGCAGCATCTCCCATGGTGAGACAAAGCCCGACTGCAGTGGTGCAGCAACTTTGCTGGCCTTTGCTACACCATGGTCTTGCATTGCACTTTAATGTTTTGAGAGAGCAAATGCCCAAGCGGATTTTCAGCCTCAAGAAAAAACAGCAATAACTAGATGTGAGGGTGCAGACCGGGGGTTCTCTGAGAAGCTGAAGTTGAAGCTTTCACAGAAGCTGTGATGCCGATTGAAGCAGCATGTTGAGGTCGATTTGATTAAGGTCTATGAGCATCATGTTGCGCTGTGATGAAGGTTAGTGTTAGATTGCGTCTACGAAATGGGGGAAGGGGTGGGGGGAGGTTGCTAAGCGGCGACGTTCGTTGTGAGTGCAACGCAAGATGTGATAAGCTTATGTAGTGTTTATGCCGCTGACCTTACTTCGCGATGTAGATTCAAGAGGATAGGGTTGGAAAATCATTGCATAAAAGCATTCACGTATCCCGTGTGGAAACAAAACTAACGGAGGGCACAAAAAATGTGGTTGGGGAGATGAAGCACTGACGTACAGTAGGTTTCTTTTCAGGAAGTTGTTTCGTTTGTTGGCTGCGGATACTTTTGATTGTTGGATCGAAGTTGCCACGAACGAACCTCACGAAACTACCTGGGAGTTGAGCCGAGCTAAAGCAAAAACTGAGACATCCCTGGCACACTTCCAGCATTGCACGTACGGCGTCGAATGTCTTCAGGGCACAAGGCCCACAAGCACAACAAGGTCACAAAACCCACGATGTCAACAGTCGCTGGAAATAGACGTGTTGACCAGCATCGAATCGACAGATTCCCAATCGGCACGGAGTTTCCGAGGTCGCATGGTGGGCCTTTTCGTGCCATGGCAACCTGGCGCGCCCGGAGGAGCACTTATTGCTTGGCCATCCGCCACATGTGAACCATCTTCTCTGCCTTTGACCGCGTCTAGTCTTGCCACCATCATCGTTGCCCTCACTTAGGAATGGAACCGTGCCACCCAACAAAACCTGGATGAGTGGCATCACCAGCTGGGACAGGATAAGTTGCATGGATTCGCGCCTCTCTCCATTGACTCTTTCTGCGTCCTTTCTTGGAAGTATGTCTGTTTTGCAGCTACTGACAACAGGGTGAGCCACCCCGACAAAAGGGAGGCCACGCGATCGCTCATGGTGTAGCAGGTCGCTTTCCTCACTCAGGGTGGACATGGCAGCCAAACCATGCCCAAAACAAACTGGAGCCTCCGCGCACAGCAGCTCTCCAGGCGCACGGCCGCCACACGGCTCAGCCCCGCTTTAAGGGTGGTTCAGGGCCGGACATACTGGCACAGCGAGAGAGAGAGAGAGATGGCACAGGCAGCTGCTCGGCTCAAGAGCTTCACCGAAGGTCCATGCTCCGTGCAGCAAGCACGCAACTGGGCATGCGGCTGCTTCCAGTCGTGGCCATGTACTGTGAAGCCCCAGACAATTTTTTATGGGTGGCAACGGGACACCCTACGCGTTCCTCAACATTAAAAAATGTTTGAAAACATGAGGCCGCACCTTGACTGAGATCAAAACAACGTTTTGCAAAACTCAGGTATAGATAGTATAGATTGTGTGTCCAACCTACACATCGTGACACAACATTTAAAAAAATGTTTCTCTCAAACACTTCTTTCAATGCGTGAAAACATTCAAACTTTGTCAGAAACACAGGCAAACTCCACGTTTACGACTCGTCTTGTGCTTGCTTGTCTTGCTTTTGCTCGGAGAACCCCACGTCTGCAGCAAATGTGACCAGAGAAAGAGACGAAACATCGAAACTGTATTGACGAATTGTATACCCAACGTACAGCGAGAGAGTCTGACATCAGAAAATATTTCACAACTTAACCAACTTGCAAGTCAGCTGCGGAGTAGCTGCGCGGAGCTTTCAGCAAGATTGGTTAAAATCTCCAGAAGTTGTGGGAAACCATCAGCCAAGCCTTCAGCGCAGGGAGTGTGGACCTGCAGCTGGCATGAGATGTGAAGTTCATGAAACAAGAACCGCTCAAGTTTCTGCTTGCGCCTGGAATGTGAAAGAACTCCTCCCCGGCTCACCGTCGAATGCCTGCATTTCGCCTGATGTCCAATAATATGCCGAAAAAACCTTGGCCTTGGAGTGTTCGCACATGTTGAAACAGTTGTGCAATAAATTCCCTCACTAAGTCACTAGGGCTCACGCCATGAGATTGTCTTGATTTCTTGCAAGGTTGGCTGAGTTTCTCCTCTGCAGCCTTTGGACAACATATTGCAGTGCGACGGGAAATGTCTTTTGCTTCATTGCACAGGTTTACACGTGTTTATGCGCGTGTACGGGTTTAAAAACCGATCTCAATCATTTTCTGACATCAACAGGACATCGCTTTCTCATCAGTGTACTCATGCTATAGCTATACTGGAGTTGACAGTGTTCATCGCTTACTCTGCGTCTCTAATGTGAGCACAACCCTCAACGCCGGCACTGACGGGCGGACTTATATTAACGGTCGCGGGTGTACAAAAAGCTTAGGGCCAAACGGGTTAAGATGTCTGTCTATCTTTGCGCCGTGCGAATTGGCTGAGTAAGTATTATATATAGAACATTATAGAACTGGCTATTTGGTAGGCTGGGCGTTTCCAAATAGCGGAAGCTTACGGTACCACTATCTGAGCTACAGCAACGGCAGATTCGATGTCGGCTCTAGGTTGGTAGGATCGGATCATTGAACTGGTGTGAATCAGAAATCGGTAAACCGGCGCGGTCAAATACCAGCCGTACGCAATGTCGCAATGACATATTGGAAAGCACAAGCTCAGGTTCTCAAACACTTTCCTGCGAAAGCTGGGTTCCAAGCCGTGGCCCTCTTCTTTTCAACAGGCTCCCTCAGTTGCACAACTAATTCTGTTGCAGCGATGTCAACGGTACACTGTACATATACATTGGCCAAAATCCGCTGACCCTGGCGGGTGGAACGATTGCCTTGGTCCACTCAACGCCTCTGGCCGTGGCATTTGTGCAGAACGGGGGCATACGTGGGCCAAGGCTCTGGCGAAGCACGCCTGCCACGCCCTTCGAAGCTGCCATCTGGGACCCTCTCCGGCGGCATTTCATTTCATGGGCCAAGCACGGGCGTGGCCAGGCCTATACCTTCCAGGCCTCTGGTCGTGGCCTTTCCAACCTTGTTTCAGTGGGTTTCGAATGGTTTCGAAGCTGGCATCTGGGACCCTCTCCGCTGACATTTGCGTGCGGCACAACATGGGCCAAGGGTCTTCCTTCAGTCCAGGTGGACTTCCGGGCTTGATCTGGAAGGTTCACCAGCTAAAGGAGTCAGGACCCTAGTGAAGGCAGGCAAAATGCATCAATATCTTTGATTAAAAATCATAGCAATGGAACGATTCTTAGGGTCTCCGCCAGTTTTCCGACAAGTTCTTTGCAGTTTCGGATTCTTGGCTTTGAGCTCTAGATTCACGAACCGTATGATAATGATTGCTTAAACTCCTACCCTCTCGGGGTGTGTCACTATTCCGACTATTCCCTTTTCCACTTCCAAAGAGGTTCCGGCAAAATTCTTGCCCGACGTCTCTCCTAGCCACCCCTCAAAAAACAGGGTCGGGCACCAGGGCGTCAGCCCATACAAAGCGTGCATCAGGTTGGAGGCCATCGCTCTTAGGTCGGAGGCCATTTGTTCTTGAAAATGTGTTGTTCTTTCGTTTCACTTTTCCAAAGCGTGCTTCTTTCACACCGTTGAAACGAATCACTGTTTTCAGGCTGCAAAGTCATTGCAATCCGCAAGTTGCTGCCGAAATGCGTGCTTGGCGATGGATCTACTCGATTTGTGGAGTCCCCGGTGCGACCTGAGTTCACAATCGCAACTTCCAAACCCTGGAGGCCATCAAGGTGAGAGGAAATGCAAGCAAGCAACTCTCCGGTGTGGCCTCTTCTTCCCTCAGGATGACAGGAGGACCATCTTCCTATGGTTCATTGTTGCACGTGCTTGAGTCTGTTTTTTCTGAAAATTTCTTGTGTGGGCCCATCTTTTGTTTCCTCACTCGATGACACATGCGTCTTTCCTAGGAGTTGACCTCTCGCAGTTTTCCGCAGAGGTCTCCACATACTCCAAGTGGCGGTCAACCATTTCTAAGTAGTGCAAGGATGCCTCAACGTCGCGGTACACGAAACCAACATTTTCCTTTTGGGCCCTTGCCTGAAATGCTTCTGGAGAAGCATCTTTAAAGAAGGTGCACACCACCATTCTGGCATAATCAACAAAGGCAAGCCGGTACAAGTGCCAAGCCTGCTCAAATGAGAATGGTTTGGATAGCTTCAGTGATGCATCCACAGCTTTTGCTGGAGCCCTCAGAGTACTGACCAGGCTATCATAGTAGAGCCTTACCAGTTGTTCTTCACCACCGTCGCGCAACGCTGACACATGGACGGAATGAGTCAAATGCATCGCCACGTCTGACATACCGAAGCCTACGCCAGTCCACTGAAAGTCGATCAAAATGGGCTTGCGAGAGGAGCCTGTGGCCGGTAGAAACATGTTCATAGCCTTAGCATCCCCATGCATCAATGTAGCGAATGAATCAGTCGGAGCAGGCTTCAGCTGCGATGACACCCAAACTGCAACGGACTCCAGCCTTTCTGCTAGCCTTCTGATGCTGGGCTTGCTCAAAAGATCTGGCGCTTCTGAGTGGAACGTTTTCAAGTAGTGGTCCCAATTGGGCTTTAGGTTCTCCAGCTCAGGCCTCCCCCGGCGATCCAGTTCCCAATAGCCTCCAGTGGAATGAAGCCTGTCTGAGGCTTTAGTTAGCAAGGTGTGATCCTCCCAGGCCGCTGCATGAAAGTCAGCCAGCATGGACAAGGTGGCAGTGGCCTGCTCAAAAGTCAATGGAGAGGTTTGAGTGTAGTTTTCATCCACGCACTCGAGCAGAAGCACTAAGCCACCCTGGCGTAAAAGCTGCTCTTCGTCTTCGTTTGTTTGGATGTCCAAGTCCAAGCATGACAATCGCTCTTGCACTAAGGGAGCTTGCAGCAATTGGACACCTCGAGAGCGAAGCTCGACCGAAAACTCTTCGTAGAAGCGAGCCTCGACACGATTGGAGATCAAGTCCCTGCGCAAGGCTTGTGCACTTTTGGCTGGCATATCTCGTGCAATGACTTTCTTCAAGTATAGAAATGCAGGGTGTTGCTTCCCCACAAGGTCCAGCCGGAGTTGTGCTGAATGAGATTGAGGCCACAACCTCTCAGTGCCCATAACAACCTCCAAGGAAGCCACATCCGTTGAGGGTAAAGGTTGCTGTCCATTGCGATATGCAGCTAGCAACACGGAAGAAAGCCATTCTGCATTCAATTGCTTCCCATCCAAAACTTGCAAAAGCTTCCCCGCACCCAGTGTGAGCGGTGGAGACATGGCCGAAATCACTGAAAAAAGCAATGCTGGTTTCCACATTCCTCTGCCTGAACCCAAAGCTGCGCTTGTCAAAGAATCTCATGATATCTCACACCTGTTTCAATTTGTCAATCTAGAATCTTTACGAGTGGCGGGATGAGAGCCTCTTTGGCGTCATGACATGTCACAAGTCAAAAGTATCAATACGACCCAATCGCATCCAAGTGTCTTCACCACCTGTTTACGGTCCATAAAGGAGAGCATTGATGACGGTGTCGACAGGCAAGCAGGCATGTAGCCTTTGTGCTGCAGCTCTCGTGGGGAATGCTGCCAGGACTCATTACATGATCAAGGGTGACGACAGGCTTTGGTCATTACAAAACAAACAACAGATCATGACAGATCTACATTCCAATGACATTTGGTACTGTATCTAGGCACACGACACGACGGCACACGCCACCGGGACTAAAAATGTGAAAAGTCCAAACACTTTCACTGCCACGCAACGCAGCTCAGGAATGCCTCGGCTCATAAAGTGCAATGAAATTATTGAAGGCATTCAATTAGGAATCAAGAACCAAGCGCTTCGCTATACAACACACACACGCTGGGAATACTCTTGAGCCGCTAACAAAGGTCTGCCAAGCGAGTTGCGTCGGCCCTCTTTCACGCAATCCATAACCCAAGAGGAAGTGACTACATTCACCCGCTTGGTGCGTCGCTTCAGCTGTGCCCAGGTCTGGTTCCCAGAAGCCAAGTTGTCCGCAATGACATGAGTCACATGAGTGAAGCCATATTGCTCATAGACTCCTGACATTGATATTCACACACACACAGGCACGCACAACGTAGTAAAGCAAATGAATTGCGCAAGAAAAGCAACACAACGTGAAAACTAGCATGAACTGAGTCAAAGATAAGGCACCACCATGTTCAACGATGATGCGTTTCAACTCTTGGTCTGGCAGGCATGTACGGCCGGTCATCCAAAAGCTGAGGCCCTGGAAAATTGCCGTCTTTGTGGCACTACCTGCGCGCAGCCCTCCAGGCAAACAAAAACAAACGGTGTATGTGTATGATTTGTCCATTCTGATCAAGCTCTACAGCCAATCCTGGCCTGCACTTCCTGCTTCAGCAGCGGAAGCGAATTGCTCTTTGAGCTTCCGATTTTTGTCCACCATGTAGTCCTTGAGTTGTGGCGCAGGGAGGGATCGATACAAACGTTGCGAGCTGGTCAAGTGCAAGCAAGCGTCGCCAAAGGATGCCTCAAAGGAATGGTGAACGACCAAAAAGGACGACAGTGAGAAAGCGCCAAGCCAAAGACCATGCCAAGGAACATAGCCACCGCCACCAAAAAAGTTTCCAGATTTCCCAGTGGCCTTTGCTCCATCGCCAGCGCCTTTGCCTGCCGCAAGCTCGGGTGCGGCTTCCAGAAGCAATTTGACAAGGACTGGCTTCAGCGCGCTTCAGTCATCCTGCCCACCTCGGCCCTTTCTCGAGCCACCCATTCTATGTACATGCCATGGTGCCAACGGAGTCGCACTTCCGAGAGCCACTTTGAGCCCAAGCAACTTGGCGACTTCATTTGCCCAGCTTCATTGCATAGAACTTGGAGCCCCATTGAAGAAACAATTGCCTAAAACAAAATGAAAACGGGCAACAGCTGTCACCAGTCCTCTGGGACGACTCTACCCTGTGGTGCGCAAGCCTCGCATCTGCGGCCTGTGAAACACATTAATTACAACGACCAAAAATCAGGTGTCCTTCATCAAGGTGTTTAATGGTTTTCCTCCAAATGACAATGAGAGTACGTGCCTTCTCTGGTCATATTTGTGCTCACCATCGGCTCCACTGTACCGCCCTGAGCGAAAACAGCAGGGGACAGGAGGGAGATTATTCACTGTGCCATGATGCGGGTCGGACCAAAAGCCTTGCACAAGGAATTGATCTCCATTATTTTGTAACAGTGGACACCTTAGCTCTTCATCACTCAAGGGTGCAGTGTATGTATGGTCCAACATGGTCCAACATGTCCAAACATTTCACATTTGAGATAGGTCTTTCTCGGACTCAGACACACTGGCAGCTGGTCATTTGCCGACCTTGCACTTTCTCGCGCTCCTCACATCTTCTCGCTTCCCGTTTATGTCGCTTGGGCTGCGGACGAGGACCAAAGCTTCCAAAAGCCGCCGCTCTCAGAGCCTCGTCTCGTAAATCCATTGTCTAGCGTGAAACGAGTGACTGAAACGACTGAAAATCTCACATGTTGGTCGCCATTTATGAACGAAGATCAGATGCCAACCAGGATCAGTACAAATGATGCACAAGCGAGAAGTGTCTTGGACCACCTGGTCAGGTCATGCTGGTCCAGAATCTAAAACAATCTAGAGCCTGAAGAGTATCTCTAAGTGATTACTAGCGGGTGTCCAGTTTGAGGCATTTGAGCTGTATTATAGTATACTGTATACTACGTACGTCAGACCAGTGGAATTAGCGAACAAAGGACTTTTTGGTAAGATTCACAAGATGCCGAAGCATCGGAATGAAACGGAACCAACATCAAAGGGCAAGCACTCCAGGCACTAGCAGGCAGTCAGGACCGGGGAGGACATGGTGGTGCCAGTACTTGGGCATGAACAAACTTAGCTCCCAACCTTCTAAAGCACTTTTGCCAAAAACTAAAAAAAAAGAACGTTGCACGAAGAGAAAACGAAAAGTCCCTCTTGGAGATTGTGGTGGGCGAAGCAGGGGTTGTGGCATGCTATTTTTCAGTCCCCCAGTTTCCTGCAAAGGCAAGGAAGAAAAATATTGAAAAAGTTCTGGTGACACATGCAAAGTTCCAGAAGAGATGCAAAACAGCCAGAAATGTTCCAGATGAGATGTTCTGTTTCAGCCACGAGATGCAAGAGATCTGTACCCAGAAAAGATCTCGATTAAAGCGGCCTTGAGACCACTGGAGCTGAAGCTGCTGTGAGCCTGATCCACGCACTGCGAATGTGTCAACACCCTCACTTGGCACTCCAAAAACTGAGCCATCAATGGTGCTTGTGAAACTATACCTCTCTCTAGGGGTTCTTATAAGGGAAGCAATGATTGATACAAACTCAATTGAAGGATGCAAATGAACCTCTCTGTGCTGAGTTTCGGATTTGAGCGCGACGGTCCATGCATGCTTTAATTCGGACATAATTTCCAGAACTGCACAGTCGTACAGCCACTGGAAAGGAACGAAAATCAGAAATTTTAAGTCTTGAATGAACGCCGCGACCGAAGTCGCCGCATGAAGAATCATTGGCTGGATTTCCCAGCTACCTTCTCCTAGGACTTCTGCTACGATTTCGGCTCTTCCCGTTCCCTTGATGAGTCCAGCAATCATTCATCTTGCACCACTTGCAATCCCTGGAACCTCCGCCTCCGCCGCCACCAGAACCTGTCCAAATTGATGCCACTTGATGACTCTTGACTCTTACATCTTGAAGCCCGCACAAGCTGATCTTCGTGATGTGATCTGGGAGAACAGTCTGATTTCTCTCTCTCTGCTCTGTGCCTTTTCCTCCTCGGCCACCACCCCAGCGTGATCTGCCACCACCTCCGCCACGCCGTGCCAGGCTGCGAAGCTCGTCACTGATATGCTGGTTGGTGCTCTCCATCACCTCCAGTGGGCACACTTTAGTCATAAAATGGAATGCGAATTGGGTATATAATTGGGGGGATGTCCGCATTCTCTTGCTGGTATCCATGCCAAATAACGCGCCTGAACGATGCCTGAAGCTTTGCCACTATCCTCATGAGGTGATAAGAACGTCACCGCGAAGCCTTTATTCCCAGCTCGTCCAGTCCGGCCGATCCTATGAACGTAGTCCTCTGTGTTGTTTGCCTAGGACATCTCTCTGGGCAGAACACAAATGCCACCTGCAAAACAGTTCTCAAGTGCTGGTGATCATGTCATTCCCAAATGTTCCAAGGTGCGGCGTCATAATTCACCACCAGGCCTCAAACAAGTACAAATCCAACCAGTTGGCGGTTTAGCTGTGGGAGGCTTTATGGTGATGCTTCTGAGGCGCCAATTCCCTTGATGTCAAGCCCTCTGGCTGCAACATCAGTTGCAACGAGGACACGGATCCGGCCCTGCTTAAGACCATTAAGGGCTTGATCCCGCGATCTTTGGTCCTGGTCCGGACCAGAAGGTAGGCTTGGCCCGCAAATCGAATGGACAAGTGCAAAGAAGAAAACTAAATTCCAATTCTAATTCTTGTTTCTAATAGCTTCTTGCTCCTAGTATATAGCGTCCCTGCTCCTAGTAGCGATGCCCTTTGCTCCTAGTAGCGTCCTCCTACTACCATGGTCCTTGTCACCATGGATAGCAGCACATGAAACTCGAGCGGCTTGGAGGTGCTGCGCCAGTTCCTCGCACATCCGCTTGGTGCTAGCGAAAACCAAGCATTTCCCCACAGCACCTGCAAAAGCAAAAGGGCGACAGGATGCAGCAATGGTGTGTTCAACTTGCGAGTGCACCACATTCAGTACCTCGACGAAACTGCTTTTGAACCTCACGGTTTTTATGGCCTGGTGCCAACAAACCTGCTTCCTGCAGTAACTCCATGATGGCTGTCTTCTTTGAGAAAGAATCCACAATGCGTACTTGTTGCGTGACATCCTGCAAGCAGGATATCTGAAGCGAATCAACCCAGCACAGCTAATTCAGGTTGTTGCATAATTATATTATAGTAATTTATAGTATATATACTTGAGCATCCAACTCATCTCCGTTCAAAAATTTAGCATCACTCTCCTTTTCGATTTCCAGTCCTGATTTGCTTTCAGCTCGTCACGATTTCCAATCATGACCCGCGCCGGCTGAAACAAGATCGTGCTTGCCAACTGGCGGACCTGCCAAATGTCCACCCCTCCGACCGCTCCGCGTGAAAAGTGCAGAAAGCTGGGGCCTCCTTCGGCCACGTGGCAGTGAAGAACATTGTGTGCCGACTTCTTGGCACGTGCTGCAAGATCTTTTGGATCTGGGGTTCGAAGCCCATATCCAGCATTCGGTCGGCTTCATCCAAAACCTTAGCGCACTGTTCAAACAACACGTTTTCATGCGTTCCATGCCCGAAGGACCGCTATAGGCTCACATGATCTCACGACAGTATCAAGCAGTCAAAACCCAAGCGTGCTGGAGGTTGCCAAGCAGCAAGTTTCCGAACTCTATTCACCTCAGTCCGACGTCCAACCACAAGAAGTCAACCTTTCCCAAACTGCTTTGGACTGAAAAACATCCACACCTGAACTTGACGGCCGTCAAGGAGATCGTTGAGCCGGCCAGGGCAAGCAATGATACTGTGAACGCCTTGACGGTATTTGCTCACCTCGGCATCGGATCATTGTGAGGTTCAAGTAGTACTCTTGCTGGGCACAGGAAACAATGAGGCAGGACCTGCCTGGTCATGTTTTGGCGCACCTCCATACATTGAGACCTCAGCTGCAAACAAAGATTGCCCAAGCAGCCAAGCACAATGCAAGGGGCTTCTGAAATCTGAAGTCTTCAGAAACAATTCGACAATTGATGTCTCTCGCGGTCATTGCCAAACAAAAGGCGCTCCATATCCCCATGCATTTTCCAAAGCGATTGGCCTCCACCTCAAGGACAAAAAAAGAGAGAGAGAGAGAGATAGAAAAAAAAGAGAGAAAGAAACACATCCATGTAGAGTTCTAGTACCATGATGCCTATGAGAGGAAAGGAAATTCATGTGAAAGCGCATGGGAAACACCCAAATGTCTCCCGGCCTCAATTTGTTGGGCCAGCTCCCTGGTGGGTGACATCACTAAGAGTCCAACTCCATCTCTTTGAGGCTGGTGACCTGCCCAGGCCAGTTTCGTTACGTCATACGTGACAGCAAACACAGCGAAAGCATAGCACCTGCGTGGTAGAACTCACCTGGGAGCGGACACCAAACATCTCGTTTAAAGAACATCACATTTGTGCTCTGCAAAAATATTGAGCAAAGAATCTGAAAGCTGGAAGTAGGAATGCCAATGTTTTCCCGCTGCCCGTGGCGGCAACCCCTATCACATCCTGCCAATAGATTTGCTAAAGGGTGCCCTGATATGACCTTCAATGACCTTCATTTCATCATCAAAGGCAGCCAACTGCAGCAATGACCGGCGGTCCTTTCCCTGCAATGCCAAGGGCCATGTAAAGGCCTGAATCTGCGAAGGTGATGGAAAGGATTGCTTCAGGTCCGCGATGAGTTTTGGAGGAAACTGAACCTCAGGTCCGAGGAAACTGAGCTTGTAATGATTCGGAGCTCAACAAAAACGAGAGCAAACAAATGTGGCTTGCAGCCTCTTGGCAACCAAGCGCCACTCAGCACATCACATGAAGCCAGGGAACACATTGGTCAAAGGACCAAATCTTCTGCAGGGGCATCGGACCTGAAGCTTGTCAGGAACAAGTGCATCGCTACTAGTAACAAGTGCATTGCTACTAGTAACAAGTGCCTCGCTAGTAGTAGCAAGAAGCTATTAGTAAACAAGTGCATCGCTACTCGTAACAATGTTTGCTATTAGTAACATGTAGTAACTAATAGCAAACATTGTTACTACCAGTAAGGCACTTGTTCCTAGTAGCGATGCACTTGTTCCTAGTAGCGAACATTGTCAGCTTTTACCAATGAGTTAGGGGTGCTTGAGCCACAGATGGTGTTGCAGGATCCTTGCAACAAATGTCAGCAGGTAAGCTGCTTTCGTTGAAGTCGATCACCCGAATGTCAACGTCCTGAGTGGCATTCAGCACATTTTGGCTTTTAGCATGCATCCAGTGCCACAGAAACTCGTTTGCATGCAGCCACATGAATTTCGAATACCATTTACTACTTGACATACCAAACCAGCCCATGATGAGACCCACAACTTGGCACGGGCCGCTTTGGCATATGGTCCCTCAAGGAGGCTCCTGCACGGTCTCTCCGGCTGTGCCACTAGCTGCTCGAGTGCAAGCTTCCGCAATTGACAGTGACTGACCTGTGCCAGCTGGGATGAGGCTCTCATAGACATTTGTCCACACAAAAAGAGTGGTAAACACATCATAGTTCTGCCCATGTTGATCTTCGAAGGTACCTGTGTGGGCTGCAGGAACTGGATAGTGCGCCTGAGTCGGCCTGAGTCCAAGCCACAAACAAGGGCTGCCAGCTAACAAAGTCCAACAAATGCTGATATCTCTCAAGTCCTGCCAAGGTACCATGGATACGGCTGTGGCACTATCACCTGCGGCTGTGGGACTCCTGGTTGCAGGGGGGGGTGCTATCACCTGCGGCTGCGGAACTCCTGGTTGCTGTGGCGGAGGTATGACTTGCGGCTGCTGTGCTACTGGGCCAGGCGTAGCTGGTCCTGCTGGTGCAGGCGCGGCTTGCGGCCCCGGCTGCGCTGCTGGCGGTTGTGCCGCAGGTGGCCAGCCCCAACCTGGCTGAGTCCAGCCGCTCATGGAAGCCAGGGCCTGCAAGCCGTGGAACGCCAGGATCCGGCCAAAAGGAAACAAAAAAGAACAAGTGTCCAAACGTCCTGCTTGGATGGGCTGTCCATTGGAAACTGAAGCGAGGCTCTCGGGTGCAACAAAAGGTGGAGAGCAACGTGCCTGGAGCGCAGCGTAGTCCATGGCAATGCTGGCTTTTGAAGCTCTGAGGCAATCTCCTTATGCCATGTCAGCCTTAGCTGCTCAATGGTCAACATTGAAAGAATGAAGAACTGAATTGAAATCGGCCAGCTCTGCAGTTGCATCCAAGTGGCTCATGTTTCGAAGTTTGAACTGCTAAATGCTCAAGCCAAACATTTCCGGTCGTTCCCCGCATCATGCAAATGCATTAAGTGGGACGACAACACTGTGCGTGAAAATGAAAGTGTGTTCTTGTCAAGCAAACTCACAGCATTAAACCATATTAAACCCAAAGCTCTCCATCCCCCTCGTTCAGCCATGCCTTGAGCACCCATGGAGTTCCAACTTTTGGTGCCAAACCCTGCACACACATAAAGCATAGCATATGTGATTGGAAAGGTAGCTGGCATCTTCTTGACAATCTGAATTGCCTCCAAACACTTCTCCACTTTGTATTCTTCCACCTGCCAACTCCCAGCAGCGCAGCAACGCTGGATGGGTCAAGCTTCCAGGATTCCCGGGCCTGTTCTAGGACGGACGCAGCTAGGACGGCTTGGTTGGATGCCTGGCTCACATGGTCAGCTGTCTCCATGTGACGTGCTTGAAGATGCATTGCACACTGTGACATCTCCATTTTGTGCACAAAAAGGTGTGAATGTAAACATCTTTGGTGGCCCATATGGCTGGCCGCAATTTCTTTCCCACAGCCCACTCGCACCACACTCTGGCACTGGTTTTCTGTTAACTCAATTCCCAGGTGGAAGAAAGGCGAAAGAACGGAAAGGCGATAGGTCCAAGCATTTGAAGGTGTTTTAACAAAAGGTTCAGCTCCTACGCATTAGCCGCTTTACTGAATACCTAGCAGACCGCCTATGCATTAGCCGCTTTACTGAATACCTTGCAGACCGCCTATGCAGTAGCCGCTTTACTGAATACCTGGCAGACCGCCTATGCATTAGCCGTTTTACAGAAAACCTAGCAGACCGCCTATGCACTAGCCGCTTTAAACAGTTTTAAACAGTTTTGCAGGTACGTTTTCACACCTGCCACTGCCGGTCTTCGTTGGCCACAGCAGCAGTGGCAGGTCTGTGGCCCCCTGCTTCTTTTGGTCCTAGTAGTAAGGTCAGAAACTACTAGTAGCACCCAGCCTTCTAGTGGAACCGACGCTAAAAATTACCAGGTAAAACCTTAGAAACAGGTGTTGACACACACATAGTGCCGCTATCGGCGCTCTGTGTGCAACAACTTTTTGTACATATAGCGCCAGTTCTGGCGCGGCGGAAAAATTACTAGTCACCTAAAAAGCCTTAGAAAGACAAACAAAGAAAACAAAACAAAAGCAGACTAAGAGGGCAAGAAAGACAGATAGGTGTAGTTATGAGGCCCACTTAGTTAAATGAAAGTAGCTCGCGAGCGGGACCTTTGTCTTAGACCGCTCGGGTAGCTAGCAATAGATAGGAGAAACAGAAGGAAAGGCACCAACACACAAGTGTGTTGAGTGCGATTTCCTTCTGTTGCCCGAATAGCGGGTGGGATAGCAACGGAGGCCTGGGGGTAGGGAGGGGCGCCGTGTCTCACCGTTCACCGTGGAAACTTGTTGAAGGGTCTCCTATTCGAGTTTCCAGTTCCAACGCAACCCCATGCCATGAAACTTGGAATTTCCGTGAAAGCCCGGCGGCTGTTGAGACAGTCAATCCAGTAGTGAAAAGTGGGCAGCTAAGAGAATCCAAGGATTGGTGGAAAAGGAAAATCCGTTACACGATTTCCAGCATGAATTCAGCGCCCCAGTGACGGGGATCACACCCAGCACCCAAGTGGGACGACTGAGCGGTTCACACTCTGACATTGGTTTTCTGTTAACTCAATTCCCAGGTGGAAGAAAGGCGAAAGAACGGAAAGGCGATAGGTCCAAGCATTTGAAGGTGTTTTAACAAAAGGTTCAGCTCCTACGCATTAGCCGCTTTACTGAATACCTAGCAGACCGCCTATGCATTAGCCGCTTTACTGAATACCTTGCAGACCGCCTATGCAGTAGCCGCTTTACTGAATACCTAGCAGACCGCCTATGCATTAGCCGTTTTGCAGAAAACCTAGCAGACCGCCTATGCACTAGCCGCTTTAAACAGTTTTAAACAGTTTTGCAGGTACGTTTTCACACCTGCCACTGCCGGTCTTCGTTGGCCACAGCAGCAGTGGCAGGTCTGTGGCCCCCTGCTTCTTTTGGTCCTAGTAGTAAGGTCAGAAACTACTAGTAGCACCCAGCCTTCTAGTGGAACCGACGCTAAAAATTACCAGGTAAAACCTTAGAAACATGTGTTGACACACTCTGACATTGGTTTTCAGTGACTCAGTTACCACGATGGGAAGGATGGCGGTGGAACAGCATGGCGAAAAGTCCGGCTCAAGCTGCAGCGCTGCTGGGGAGGAAAAGGTTTAGGGGGAAGTATCGTGGAACCACCATGGAAGCAAACAAGAGAGATTGGAACAGCGTGGTCAAAAGTTCAAAGTCGCAGGTACGCCAGACTGATCAGGTCTGGTTTCACTGCCAATTGCAAGCGTCTTCGTTGGCAGGAGACTTGCAATGGCACTCCTGCCCCCTGCTTGTGAATCGGTGGTGGTACAAGTGGCAGGTGGATCGGTTGGACGAAACCCTTGGTCCAGGGGTGGACACACACAAGTCGCCGGCTCCGGCGCTTTTTCAAAAACCGGTGGCAGGCGTGGTGGTTGTGCCCTTTTTTGGACATAAAGCCTCACTAGCTCGGCTGCAGCAGCTTCCTGTCATGGTGATGTTGAAAGTCGCATTGCTCTTGTTGAAAGGAAGTATGCTGTGAAGGTGAGCTTGATGTGACAAGTAAAATTGTTGTAGGGTGTGGTCATGCATCTCGAATTAGATTTGAGAACTCCGGTATGCGGGCTTGAGTTCTTCTGACGGAAAGGTCACGGCACAGGTCAAAAAGTCACTACATGTA